GCAGGCTTTTACCCGTGGGCTTTGATGAAGCCTGTGGGAATGTGTATAGATGTGTGGAGGGCAACTCTGGTCATGTGTTGGGTGCAGAAGGTCGAACTATACTCCATTTCTCCCTCAAGCCTCCTGTTTCCCCTTCTTGCATACCCCAGCAGTGTGCCCCGTTGGTTTTACTTCAGTGGAAAGAGGAGGGCCAAGGACTGTTTGGTGCCTACCTGATGTCCTGCTCAGCTATAGCAGAATGGGACCACAAGTTTGCATGCAGAATCTTGATGATGTCCCCTTCCTAGGCAGTAAGGGTTGCAGGGACTGTGGGAGTCCTTTCCTGGGACTTTAAGGTCTTGGAAGCAGGCTTTCAATGTGGAGCTGCTCTCTGCTTCATCCTTGAAGAGAGGCTGATGGACCCTTATAGACAGCTCTTCCCCAGAGCCCCTTCTTTGCTGTCTTAACCTCCAGCCACTGGCCTTCAAGGGACACTTTCATGCCTGTCTTCTCCACTTTTTCAATGGGTATCATGCACTATTCCTGCATTTTGTGTGTGTGCCAGTACTGAGACTTGAACTCCTGGTCTGGGCACTATCCCTGAGCATTTTTGCTCCAGGTTAGGCCCTCTAGCACTTGAGCCACAGCTCCACTTTTGGCTTTTTGCTGGTTAATTAGAGAAAGTCTCAGGGACTTTCCTGCCCTTGCTGGCTTTGAACCATGATCCTCAGATCTCTGCCTCCTGAGTAGCTAGGATTACAGGCATGAGTCATCTGTCCCTGCTTTACTCCTCCTTTTTATTTATTTAAATTTTTCGAGTCCTGGGGCTTGATCTCAGGGCCTGGGCACTGTCCCTGAGCTTCTTTTGCTCAAGGCTCGCACTCTGCCACTTGAGCCACAGTGCCACTTCCGGCCTTTTCTGTTTATGTGGTACTGATGAATTGAACCCACGGCTTCATGAATGCTAGGCAAGCACTCTACCACTAAGCCACATTCCCAGCCTACTCCTTCTTTTTAAATGAAGAAACTGGTGGTTGGAGTGACAATGACTTGTCTTAGGTAACAGCCAAAATGTGGTAGAGGTAGGACTAGCATCCAGCTAACCTACTTCTTAAACTAGGCCCCTCTCCCCCATGGGTGAATGCTTTCATCTTCATATCACGCACTTAGGAGCAATTACTATGTGCCAGCCACTGTGGTCAGTTTATTTGCACAGAGGATCTGCTCTGCAGACAAGGGAGGTCAGTATTGTGATTGTTATCTACTCTTCACAGATGAGGAACCTAAGGCAATGTATCCCTCCACTGGAGTTGGGGATTATATAAGTGCTGCTAGGTTCTACAGTCCATTATAAGCTCTCTTCTCTGACAATGCTGGGCTATGTTGGTGGCAATTCCCTGCCTGCCTGAGCTGGTACTTAAGGTACCAATGGTGGCACCACAGGGTACATGGGCAGGAAAGGGGGCTTGTGGAAAAAAGGAAGCCAAGAAATTGAAGGCTCCTGTTATTCCAGAGCCTTTCTGGTGACAACCTAGATAGAAACCTCTAAAGAGGCACAATTTCCCTATCCATCCCAGGTACTAATACTGAAACTATGCAAAACTGGCTTAGACTAGAGCACCAAGTAGGGGCTGATGCGCTTGAAGGGGCTGAGCCATCTTTGCCTTTCTGAAAAGGCTGAGCACCCTTTTTGAAGCTCATGAAGTTAGGCAGAAAAATTAGTTACTGTTTTTTTCCCATATAACTGAGTTTGATCTTCAACTTACTATCCTACTACCTCTACCCCATAATTTCGTTGCTGAGACTACAGATGTTTTGCAACCAGGCCTGGCAGGATATTTTTTGAAAGACCCACAGCCCTGGAACTGGAAGTGTGGCTTAAGTGGTAGAGCTCCATCCTGGAGCAAAACAGCCAAGCAAGATCAACAAGACCTTGAGTTCAAGCTTCATCATGCACACACACACACACACACACACACACACACACACACACACACACACACACACACACACACACACACACACACACACACACACACACACACACACACACACCCCAAACCCTGCTATCTCTTGAACTCTTTCACAGTATTCTAATATACATGGTATAAGTAATAGTACTGGAGCTTGCCTTGATTATTATGGTCTCTCAATTATTCATCAAAAGTTTTCTTTGTTTGTTTGTGCTGGTCCTGGGGCTTGAATTCAGGACCTGAGTGCTGTTCATGAGTTTTTTTTTGCCCAAGGCTAGTGCTTTACCACTTGAACTACAGGTCCACTTCAGGCTTTCTATTGGTTAATTGGGGGTAAGTATGTCACAGACTCTCCTAACCGGACTATCTTCAAACTGCAAACCTCATATCTCAGCCTCCTAAGTAGCTAAGATTACAGGCCTGAGCCACCAGTGTCCAGCTCATCAAATGTTTTTATTCAGCATGTACTCTATGTTGTAGACATTGTACAACTTCCATTGCATTTATTTGTAATAGTTTATATCTTTATAATTTTTGTACCTTTTTCTATTTTCACCTCTTATAGGTTTATTTTATTATTTTTGGTGCCAGTACTGGGCCTTGAACTCAGAGTCTGGGCTTTTCTGCTCAAAGGTAGCACTCTATCATTTGAACCATAGCTTCACTTCTGGCTTTTGGTGGTTAACTAGAGATAAGAGTCTCATGAACTTTCTAGCCTGAACTAGCTTTGAACTTTTATCTTCAGATCTCAGCCTCCTGAGTAGCTAGGATTACAAGTACCCAATGATTATAGTTTCTTCCAGTATGCCCTTCAATACCTTTCAACATACTTTGCTCTGTCAGCAGCACTGTGCTCAGTGCCATGTGTGTGGTGGGGTGTAAATAGAATCAGCTCTGGTTTTCTGCACCGAGGGAACAGACAGGATCATGGCATGTCTTCCACATTTAAGTCCTTTCTAGCTCTGTGCAAAGCAAAAGACATTTGGCTTCAACTCAGAGGCTGAGTGATGCTTACAATGATTACAAGAGCCTCAGGAAGGAGGTCATATCCCTTCCCACCCTTCATAAGGATTCCTGTCTCAGGGTGGATTTTGTTTGTGGGAATGAGTTGTAGTGTGCAGGTCTCATCTATGTTTGGGTCCTATGGGGACTATGATTCACCTTGAGCATAAGAGCTACAGCCCTACCATTAAGAGAAACAGAGGGTACAAGCTGGGGGTTGGACCTTGCTTTATTATTGCTTCCCTAATTCTTACATGAACCAGCAGGGAAGGAAGGTGAGAGAATTTCAGTTTGGCCTAGCACAATGGAGGGCCCACAGGAGGGGGTCTTTTGGGACTAAGGCTAGATTTTTTTTCTGTTATCACTTCTGATAACCTAAAAAATTGCTTCCCACCCCCCCTAAAAAAGTTTATTCTTGTCTGCATTGGATCCTGTATCAATCATGTGAGATGGAAGTAGTGCCTACATTACAGGAACCTTGGATTCATTTCTTCTGTGTTGGCAATCATGTGACAATCATGTAACATGAATGTAGTGCCTACATTCAAAAAACTTTGGCTTCATTTGTCCTGTTAGGTATGGAGGAATGAGTAGTGTGAGTGCATTGTCTCTGCCATGGATTGTGTATGAGTAGCCTGGAGGGAGTCACCTCTCCCTAGTTTTTGTTATTGTAAATATGTGTGGGGATTGCAGTGATTGTTCTGCATAAAAATATTGGATACTCTGACACCCGGCTAATAGGAGTTCATAACTCATCAGTGAAGTCAAAATGGTGAATTTTTCTTGGAATCTTTCTGTGACAAGAGAGAAATCAAATGCTATTTCTAATTTCTTACTGAATTTTAACAGAGTTTCTGTAGTACTTGTCTGAACTCCTAGAAAACTTCATCTGCCAGTGTTAATGCTGGTGTCCTGTTTCCCATGTATTTTTGCATGGAGGAAGAGTTTATAGACCTGGAGGGGATAGAGAAGTGAGGGTATTAGGGAGACTGCAGAATTTGGTGCCTAATGATAAACTGGGGACAGATGGCTCAGGCCTGTAATCCTAGCTACTCAGGAGGCTGAGATGTGAGGATTGTGGTTCAAAGCCAGCCTTGGCAGGAAAAGTCCTTGAGATTCTTATTTCCATTTAAGCATCAAAAAGTCATAAGTGGAGCCAGGTATTGCTGGCTCATGCCTGTAATCCTAGCTACGCAGGAGGCTGAGATCTGAGAATCGCGGTACAAAGCCAGCCCAGGCAGGAAAGTCTGTGAGACTCTTAGCTCCAATAAATTACTCAGAAAACCGGAAGTGGTGCTGTGGCTCAAGTGGTAGAGCGCTAGCCTTGAGTTGAAGAGCTGAGGGACAGCACCCAGGCCCAGAGTTCAAGCCCCACGACCGACAAAAAAAAAAGTCAGAAATGGAGGTGTGGCTCAAATAGTAGAGCTAGTCTTGAACAAAAAGCTGAGGAACAGCGCCCTGGGCCCTGAATTCACTCGTCAGGACCAGCAACAACAACAAAAAGAATAAAAATAAAAGAGGATAAAAATAGGGGATGGAAACTCCTGCTCAAATATTACATTGATGACTTCTGGACTCGTTACAATTTATCGTGAACAAGTCACTCGACTCCTCTCACGCACATAGCGTATTTGAAGTCCCCACCCGGTGCCAGAGTTTCAGAACACACAGTCAGCGTTCCTTGCTGACTTGCTCCTTCAGGCTCCCTCAGTTAGCTCTGGGCTTCAGTCTACTCCCTCCCTGCGGTGTGACCTGAGGGAAAGGCAGCGGCGCAGGGATTGGAGGATCAGCAGACAGAGCCCCTCCCAGTTTGATTTGGGCGGCTTTCTGAGGAGGCCGGTGGGCCGGACTGCGCTCTCATTGGTCGAAGGTCTTGGAGGTGGGTGGGGCGCCTTTGCAGCCGAACTCGCCAACGCTCCCTCCCCACCTGCGCGGCGAGTGGCCTCGGGTTGACAACGGCTAAGCAGCTGCCACAGCTGCTCCTCTGGCTGGCACCGTTACCCTCGCCCGACCCCAGGCTCCACGCGTGCCCGGGACGGAGTAGTCTGGCTTGTGCTTTCCTACAGTCTGCTCGCCGCTGTGCCTGGGTCCGAACCCAAAAGCGTGGACGCGTCCTCCAGGTAAGACTTGAGGCGATTTCAGGGGCACCCAGACAGATCGGGTCGCTGCCTAGTCTATCTGAGGTACTATGGCCCTGTCCCGTCCCTAGCGGGTTTGCTGGGCAGCGTGTGCTAGAAACGAGAAAGAAGCGAGGCGAGCTACCTCCGGTGGTGCTCATAGTTGGCTTCACAGTTGCTGAAACTGAGGGATCACTGATCGTGCCGGCCGCGATCTCTTCCAGCAAATAGGACTCTGGGAAGCGTGTAGTCACCCGCTATGCCGGGCTTGGCTGAGGCTCGGAGTTGGGGCTCCTTGCGGGGCTAGACGAAGGAGGCAGGGCATGGGGCTCAGTGACCAAGAGGCTGGGTGGTGTGGTTTCTCCGTCTGCTGACCACATGGCTTTCTCAGGGCTCGAACTTGTGTATCGCATCGCATCTCACCTTGCCTTCCAAAAGCTCCTGCCAAGGAGTTTCTCCTCACAAGCTAGCTGCCAGTGTAAACCTCTAGCCAAGACACATCTTTTAGGGGATCCCTTTGCCTGTGAAGTCCCAGATAAATTTGCATTTTAGAACCCTAAGAAATGCCTGCTGGTGGAAGTTTTGGGGGAGTTCCAATTAGGTAGTCTAGGCCTCTCTGTCTCCTCACCTAATACTTGTTACAGTTGAATTGCTGCCCAGGAAAATGGGGTTCAGCCAGTTCATGTGACTTTACACTATTCACACTAATTCTGGAAGCCACAGTGTTTTTTAGACACTGAAATGTAAAAGGCCTGAGGTCTTCTTCCCTAAGACTTCCATAGCACCTAGAGCCAGACTCCTAAACAGCAGGTAAAAAGAGTTGTCTCTGACCTCCTTGGGGGACAGTCTTGTGATTGCACATGTGTTGCTTGAGGGGAGGTAGCAGTTAGACTGCTGGTGGGAAAATGTAGGAGTTTCCTTCCAGAGTCAAGCTCCCCCACGCAGGTTAAGCTGACTTAGAGTCTAGGCTCACCCCAGGTCCTGGAGTCCTGGCTTCTTTGGGTCTCACTCAGAGCACCTGATGATGCCAGGAGAAGAGAATGAATCACCGCCAGGGCTATTTTCAAACCCTGACTCCTGCTACACCACCAGTTTCCACCCCCTGTCTAAGGGTTGCGGGTTCCACCTCCACTATCTATACGTCCTTCTGAAATAAAGGAGAAACAGATCTTGTCTGCAAATGGGAGAATAAGCAGCCCAAAGGTGTGGGAGAAGAAGGGTCTTAGGGTTTTTCATTGGCTGATGGTGTGGAAAGGTATAATTTGTGTGGAAAAGATGAGGGAAATACTGTTTCAACCAAACCTCTAGTTGTCTATCTAGCTGGCCATTCTGGGCTAGTCCTCATAATATCTAATCTTGTGTCCAGGTGTTAGACCTCCCATTTTGGAGTTTCTGTTGCCTAGATATCTATAGTATGGCTTCTCAGCCCTCCACACCACACCGTCTAGTTTGGACAACTCTGTTCTCTCTCTCTCTCTCTGTCGGCCGTGGGGCTTGAACTCTGGTCCTGGGCACTGTTCTTCAGCTCTTCAGCTCAAGGCAAGCGCTCTACCACTTGAGCCACAGCACCACTTCTGGTATTCTGGTGGTCTGTTGAAGATAAGAGTCTCACAGACTTTACTGCCCTGGCTGGCTTTGAACCTTGGTTCTCAGATCTCAGCCTCCTGAGTAGCTAGAATTACAGGCGTCAATCATGGGCACCCGGCTTCCGCTGTTCTCTTGTCCTCTTACCACACCTAAGTCACTGCTGGAAGTATATTCTGAGTCCCTCTGTATCTGTGGCTCTGTCTTCTGTAGAGCAGCCACCACATGTCTAGATGCTGTAAAAGTGAGAAACAGGGTGGAAGGCGGACCAAGGGGTTGTGTACCTGATGTGAGTGTTCCTTACAACAGTGAGTCTCACAAGGAGTCTGGCAAACATTCATTGTTTAACCTCATTACTCTCTGAGTTCAAGCAGAAGAGTAGAAGGTAGTGAGAAGAGGCCCAAACTTTGACTCACCTTATCTTCTTAAAGTTGTAAATATCTATTTTGGGGACTCCAGGTTGGAGAGGGATCAGAAGATCCCTGGGTCTAGGTATAGGGAGAGTCGCAGGGACACAAAAGACAACCCAGAAGGTTACAAAGGGAAGAAAGATACTGTCCAGCTGGAGTGCTGTCCCAGCATTTTTTCTGGCAAACTCCAGGTTCCAGCCATAGAAAATGTAGGTTCAGTGAATGGCAGGCTGTGCACTCATCTTCTGGAACAAAATAAGAGGGAATTATTGGTTGGATAAAGGAATTACTTTTAGCTTGAATTGTAGAGAGCAAAATTTTATCCCTTCAGCTCCCAGTTTGAGTAGGATCAAGCATCATGGCCTTGGGCCTTAGAGAGGCTGCTCTGCAGATAAAATAAGGATGGACATAAACCTGTATGGAAATGTCACAATTAAACACCTGCCTTGTATGTTTAATGTATATTAATTAAATTAAAAATTTACTTTTCTGAATTAAAATACTGAGGATTTATAAAGACACACAACTATGGCTGCAGGTTGTAGCTCAACAGGCACAACTAAAAAACAGAAGGGCCAGGCACTGATGGCTCAGGCCTGTAATCCTAGCTACTCAAGAGGCTGAGATCTGAGGATCACAGTTCAAAGCCAGCCAGGGCAGGAAAGTCTGTGAGACTCTTATCTTCAAGAAGCCACCAGAAAACCAGAAGTGGCACTGTGGCTCAAGTGGTAGAGTGCTTGCCTTGAGCTGTAGAGCGAAGGGACAGCACCCAGGCCCAGAGTTCAAACCCCACAACCGACAGAAAAACACACACACAAGGAAGTAAATACTTTATAAACAGTACATTTTTTGCCTTAAGTACAAATGAACATCATACTGTTTAATACCAGGAAATCATTTTTCAAGTAACTTTGATATTAATAAAATCATTATTACAACATTTGTGTAGGTATGAAATAATGTAATAAAATTTCAATTAGGAATATCTAATATACAAAAAAAAAATAATGATGGAAATGTCAACGATGCTATGCTTTGGGATGGGAACCCAGGGCCACGTACTACTCAAGCGTTTTACCACTGTACTACACAGCCAACCTTGGTGAGTTTCTTCCATGCTCCATGACCCTAGCCAGGGTGGTTGAACAGGGAGCTGGGCATGCAGTTGTTGGTATCATGTGTTTATGAAGACTATTCATGTTGATCGGTGGTGGCTCACACTTCTAAACCTAGCTATTCAGGAGGCTGAGATCCGAAGATCGTGGTTCAAAGCCAGCCCAGGCAGGAAAGTCTATGAGACTGTTATCTCCAATTAATCATAGAAAAATCCAGAAGTGGCACTGTGGCTCAAGTGGTACAGCACTAGCTTTGAGCAAGAAAGAGCTCAGGAACAGCACCCAGGCCCAGAATTCAAGTCCCAGGACTGGCAAAAAACAACAACAAAAAATAACAACAACAAAAAACCACTCTATTCATGTGTGAGCCTGGATGTAAGTTCGTGTATGTGTGTGTTCAACACAGGGGGCCTAGTAGATAGGAATCAAGTGACTAGAGGCCATAGTCTGGGCCCGGGTGCTGGCGTTGTGTGTGAGCTGCTCTTGTGCAGCCCTCCATGTTGGGAGCTTAAATGCCCAACAGTTGCTGTTGCTGTTTACTTTCTGCCACATGCAAGAATCTGAGAACTGAATGTTAAGTTCCTTGGGAGTCCAGGGTGTCATGGAGAAAGAACAGGAGATTTGGGCTAGACACATGGAAGTTTAAATCAACCCAGGCTGTACTGCTTCTTCAACCCTTCAGATCCTCATTTTCTCTCTGTGTTTTCCATATCATTGGACTCAACAAGGGGATCCACCACTCAGGGCTTTGTAAACACCACCAAGTGCTCTATAAATGATTAGTCATTAAGGTCACACTGGCTGCTGGGTCTTATGGACAACATAGAACCCCCAACTTCAAGGTACAATCTATCCAGTTTGGGAGTTAGGGCCCTGAGTAATATACAACCCACTGATACTCTATCACAGAAGTGAGGGTTTTAAAAATATTATGAAGAATTCTGCCTTTCAAAAGAGAGTCAATGTAATAAAGTCTCCAGTACCACATCTCTACCTATTTTACCCCTTCCCTTGTTGCACTTTGATCTAAATCCCAGACAGTTATCATTTCATCTAATTTTTTTCAATATATATTTCTAAAGGATAGGGTCTCAAAAAAATATCAGCAGGAATGTGGCTTAGTGCTTGCCTAGAATGCATTAGGCCCTGGGTTCATTTCTTAGTACCACATAAACAAAAAAAAAATTAAATTAAAAAAATCCACCACCCTGTCATATTCTCAGCAAAACTAGTCCCTTTAAGATCATTAAATGTCTAGCCAAGCCAGGCACTGAGCCCATGATCCTAGCTACTCAAGAGGCTGAGATCTGAAGATTCGAAGACAGAGAAAGTAGTTGAGACTTATCTCCAATAAGGTACTCAGAAAATGCTGGAAGTGGCACTGTGGCTCAAGTGGTAGAGCACTAGCCTTGAGAACAAAAAAGCTCAGGGAGGGACTGGGAAGGTAGCTCAGTGGTAGAGTGCTTGCCTTGCATGCCTGAGGCCCTGGGTTCGATTCCTCAGCACCACATAAGCAAAAAGAAAAGAAGCCGGAAGTGGCGCTGTGGCTCAAGTGGTAGAGCGCTAGCCTTGAGCTGAAGAGCTGAGGGACAGCGCTCAGGCCCAGAGTTCAGGCCCCACGACTGGACCCAAAACAACAACAACAACAACAAAAAAAAGCTCAGGGACAGCACCCAGACCCTGAGTTCAAGCCCCAAGACCAGCAAAAAAAAAAAAAAGTTTAGCCTGTGTTCCTATTTCCAGTTATTGAGGTTATACCCTGGGAGTTCAGACCAGGGAGCGATTGATTGCTTTGGACTGAGGAGAAGGTGACTAACAGAGGCAGTGATATTTGAGCTGAACCTTGGAAGAGGGGCCCAGGAAAGGTCCGAGCTAGAGGGATTATGGAGTCCTT